CACCCCCACATCCAGGAGCCTGTGGCTCCCAGATCAACTCTGGTCGTCAGGAGAGCCCAGTGCCTGCACCTTCCCTGCCAGGAGGACCCTAAGGCTCCCAGTCCCTCTGGGGAAGGGCCTAGGGTCTGCCCTTGTTGTCGTGGTTGTGGGGGACCGGGGGCGCCCAGGCCTAGGTTCTGTACTGCTCTCCCTCTTCCCTCACCCCCTCCCTAGAGGCCATGCCAAGTCAACAACTTTAAATGCCCAGTTTCCTCATTTGTAAAACGAGGATGTCAACAAAGTGCTGAATTGTCACCATGGCGCTGGCCATTTAAAAAGCCAGAGAGGACACAGCAAAAGGAGATCTCTCCTAAGATGCCAGACTCACTATGAGGGCGTCAGCTCACATCCCCCTCCTACAGGAAGCCTGTCTCATCCCCTTCCAGAATGTGACTGCAAGCTACACAGCCTTGTCTGGGTCTTGGTTCCACACCTGCCATGTCATTGGAGAGTGGGGCCTATGGCCGGGCAGCCTCCTGACAGGTGAGCCCTGAGCAGGGCCAGGCCAGGAGTGCTGCCACAGCCTGAGTGGCTGTGACGCCACTCTGCTCACAGACAAGCCTCACACTCGTGCTGCTCAGCCTGGGGGCCCTGGTAGGCAGAGCCCACTACCTGCTCTGCCCCACCGCAGCAGGGAGGTGTCCGTCCCCACTGTCTGGCACTGCCACCTGCAGCCAGGGCTCCTGCCACCTGCAGCCAGGGCTGCTCGCACCAGCTCCAGCTGCTCCGAGGAGCCGGCCCAGCCTGACGCGAGGGGGAGGGAACGGGGAGAGCATTTCCTCCCTCTCGGCCCAGAGAGCAGGCTGGGGTGACAGGACGGCAGGCGAGGAAGGGGCGAGGGCTACGGGGGTAAACTTCCGGTACCTTCTGGCACCACGTGGTTCAGAGGAAAAGCAAAGTCCCTTGCACTGTGGCGCAGTGGCCTCGCGGGCTAGTGTGGTGACTCCCACTCAGGGTCGCAGACCGCAGCTTATGCTGGGGCCAGAGGCAAACACGCTCGTTTTGATGGCGAGGAAAGCAAGGCTGGAAGCTGAGCAGCTCGTGGCAGGAAAAGGTCCGACCCTCCTGATAAGGGGCCTCCCACCAGGCAGGGGCTCCCCTTAACCTCTGTGGGAGAGTGGAGTTCGGGGTCTCAGGGGACCCGGCTCGTGCCCTGGCTGCCCTCCCCTCCACCCTCTGCTGGTGGCTGTAGGCAGCAGGCGGCATCTCTCTTGGGAGCCCATCAGGCTAGGGGCAGCTTCGGCGGGCATCTGGCAGGCCAGGGGCCACGGATCCTGTGACAGGGATGTCAGAGCCATGACATCGCAGGACAGTGCAAGCTGGCACAGGGGCTATGGTC